TATATATATTGTTGTATTTTTAAAGTTTAAATAAAAAGGTATTAATTCAAAAAAATTGTCGTATTTGAAAAAATTAATATTGTTGGAATAACAGTTTTAATTTGGTGGTATATTTTTTATAGAATTCAAAATTATCATAAATCATTTATTTTTAAAAGTTTTATTATTTTTATATTAAAATGATAATATTTTATGCGTTTTTTTAAATACAAAAGTAACTGTTATTAGAAAAGTCAACGAAATAAAAATAAAATTGTCTATCGAAAAAAAGCAAATTTATTGTATTCTAATTATTGTCTTATTAAGCAAACAATGAATTAAATTTTTATTACAATCAAATTATTACAATCAAGGAAAATAACTTTGTTGTAAAAATAGACATCGAACAAGCAATAAAGCTTTTTTAATTCAGTCATTAATTGCATTGGCTATAGCAAACAAATGGCACAAAGAAATTAATCTCAGGAATTTATTTTATTTTTAAATTCAACAAGTTATTTATACTTTAAATAAAGTTTATTTTTAAATAAAATTGACAAATTTATAATATTTTCTTTAATTGTTTGTTATTATTGTCTAAATTAATAAAGTTGTTTATTGTCGGATTTTTTAAAAAATACTTTCGATTTATTTTAATTCTTTAAACTCTAACCATCTTATTTATTCATTAAATTTTCTTGACTTTTTTGATTTAATTGTATTTATAGAAATATAGTTATTTTTTTGTGAAATAATCTTGCATCTTAAGCTTTGTAATTATTAGTAATGACCGATATGTGGTGTTTTGAAGAAAAAAAGAAAGTGTCTTATACAATATAATTCAATTATTTCAAAACGATTTAAACCATAAATTGAAGTGACGATTTTTTTAATATAGATATAGTTTTTTATTTTAAAACCAAATCAATTAGTTGTGGTCAGGTTTTTGTCACCAAATCGCGGTTTTAGTGTTGTCATTCCAATCACCAAACCATTTAATAATTATATACACAATAAACCCAATTTTATGAAAAAGCTTTGTATTAATATCTGTATTGGGGGTTTTCCTTATATTAATTATAACTGAGAAAATGTTCTGTTAATTCCTAAAAAAACAAATTTAAATTCTTTTTTATTTCTTTTAATCAATTTATAAAATACACATAACCATGATTTCAATCCAATGAGAACAACAAGTAAGTCTTTGCTGATCCAACACAATCAAGACATTGTCTCACAAATACCAGAGCCACTACTATATGTTAAATGGAATGCCTAAACCTCCATCTTCCTTTCACTAAATATCCAAATTCATTGCTAAATAAATTTATACCTCTTTTTTCTCCAAAAGTTGTTTCAAAACATTTGTTCAAAAATAATTTCAATAATTTTTGGCCAAGCCGTCTGCGACTTTGTTGGTCTTTCATCTGAATTTTTCTCTAAAGCACAATCCAAATCAATTTATAAACACAAGAGAATCACATTTTTATGTTATTTGGACTGACGACACCGATCAGTCGTTATTAATACTCGACTCTTTAGTAGCAAACAATGGAAATTGTGTTCCAGAAGATTTTGCCGCGTGTTGTCTTTATTGGTACAATTTCTGGTTTTCGGAAGTCGGCGATATAAAGCCGTCGGATGTTGGAAATCCACACGTGAAGTGTTTTGTCGTCTAAAAACTTCATCAAAACACTCATCAAAAAAATAAATGGACGTTTGAGAAAGAGGAGGACGGCGTGCGTCTAATGGGGGTGTGATGAGGACTTCAATTGCTGCTATTCTTTGATTTTGGGATATCAAAAAGGTGGAAGAGACTGCAAACACCTTTGGGAATGTGACTCATCACGACCCATGATGCCAGGCCTCATTTTTATAATAGTCAATTTAATTGGCGAGTTTCTACAATGCGAGTGTGATTGCCAAAAAGCGATCAATTTAGCACGAGAAAGAATAAGAAAGTACATAAAAAACAACAAGGTGTTTTATTCTGGTTTTGATAAATTCACAAATCCACAAAGTTTAGAACAACTTGAGTTGAATAAATTGATTGAATATACATATATAAGCCAGTTAAACGTACAGTGCAGAGTCGGAGTGGCACAAATAATAAAAAAATGATGGAAAAGGTGACAAGGAAATAATCGAAAGTGTGTTGATGGCTGTAATTTATAAAGTAAAAGATGCAGACACAAATGCGGCAGTTGTTGGAGCTGTATTGGGTGCTTACATTGGTAATTTAGATATGTTTCCAAAATACTGGATTGAATTTGATCACAAAAATTGGCTTATTGAGAGGATCAATAGAATGTTAAAATTAATGAATTTAAAAGAAATTAAAGATGAAAAAATTTAAATGATAAATTATAGTTTATTATATTTTTATATACTTTTTAATCAAAAGTGTTTTATATGAAACACCCAGAAACTTTTCAAATGAAGTACAGTAAAACCTCCCAAGAGCGGGAGGGTGTGGGAATTTTGTTCTTTCAAAAGCGGGCATTTTTAGTCAATCAAACTTTAATTACCGCTCTATAGAGAACTCTATTTTTAGTTTTAATATAAAAAATGCCCGCTTTTTAAAAAAATATACTCTTCAAAGGTACCACTCTTGGAAATTTTACTGTAGTCATTCAAGAAATTGTGCCGGTTTCTTTTATTTTAGTCTTCTATCATTATCGAAATAAAATTGTTGTAAAAAATGATGTCAAATTAACATAATATAGTTAAATATACTATTTTAATAATAAAATGTTATTTTTAACTATATGATATTAATAAAATATTAAAAAACGGTAATCTATTTTCAATTATTTTTTGTGTTTATTTTTCTTTTTTTCCAAATAAATCATTGATATTTTGAACACCACTTGGTATCTTTGTTTTTTTTTAATTTAGTGCAGTTCAAGAAACAATTATATCCGATATGGGTCACTTCATCGGGCATTTCGACGTGTTGTAAATTAATATATTCTTAAAAACATCTATATCCAATACTTTTAAGTGACTTACTAAATGTGATAGAACTCAGTTTTCCACACTTTTGAAAAGCAAAAGGACCGATAATTACCACTCCATCTATACCTTCCACTTTTTCCAAATTAACACAAGAAGCAAAAAATTGTGTTCCAATCATTGTTAAACTTTGTGGTACGTGTACAACACTCAAATTAATGCAATTTTCAAAACACGAGACTTGAAGTTTCTTTATGTTTTTTTGGCAGTTCAATACTTTCAAGAATCAAACAGCAATAAAAACTTTGGACCCCAAATAATTCGACTGTGTATGGAAAAGTGATTTCAGAGAGAGACGTACAACGTAGAAAACTATTATCTGAAATATCAATTACACCCTCGGGTATATCAATACATTTTAAAGATTCGCAACCAATGAAGCACGACGATTGAATACTTTTTATCGACTTAGTCCCATACAAAAACTCAAATTCAGTCATTGAAAAATAATAATAATTTTGAAATTTTCTCTGTTTAATGTGATATGTGACTTTGACATCACAACTTTTTGGAGTTGTGTACACTTGGCAAATGCCTGCCAACCAATTTCAGTCACAGAGTCTGGAATTTCTATTGTATTCAATAAAATACACCCATTGAAACAATTTTCTCCAATATTTTTCAGACCATATTCTAACACTATTTTGAAAGAGATTTACAATTGGAAAAACACATACTTTTGAGTGACTCGACACTCTTGGGAATATTAAGGTCTAATAATTCTTGACAGCCTGAAAAGGCTAAATTACTTATTTCAGAGAGACGACTTGGCAAATTTATCCAACTTAAGTTTTGACAGTCTTAGAAAGCTCCAATTAATTGTTTATAGAAGGTTTTAAATGTCTCAGGAACTTCACCGAGGTGAGAGAATAACACCCATAAAAACATAGTGACCCGATAGAGGTGAGTCGACTTGGGAAGACTACTTCGACTAATGATCGACATTCAGCAAAAGATTTATCACATATTCGTCTTAATGATAATGGAAATATAAAAAATGTGAGAGAAGAACATAGGAAGATAGATTCATTATCGATACATGTGACTGTAGTTGGTATATCAATGGATTTCATTTCTCGTTCATTCAAAAAGCACTTTTCATCGATTTTGGTGACCAAATCAGACAAATGACTGTTGAAAGCAATTCTGTCTTTTTGTGTAAATTATATTTTTGAAAATAATAGAGTGCATTCGAACATGAGTGTCTTTGATTGATTAGAATTTGTTTTCGGAATACATGTCAAGCATGTTCATAGCAGTTTTGTAGTCAACTTCTTCGTGGACAATAATGCGGTAAAACTCCCTGTAAAAGTATGATGTCAAATGTTTAAAAGCCTAAAAAATTGTTTTATGGCCATAGAATTAAAGTCTCTAAATTTTCAAAAAAAATCAGTTTACTTCGAGTAAGAGTAATTGGTTTGTAATGAAACTTAGACATAGTCAAATCATATTTCTTACATACTAATTCAAGAGATATAAAATCTTGGAAAGAAGAAAAGTATTTCGAAACTATCATAATGTGGAAGCCATTTAAATGGTTCATATGTTAATATTTTTTTGATTATAAAGTTGTTTTTATATTTTTAAATTCTTTAGAGTTTTTCAGTTTTATGTTTGAATGAATGTTTTTAAAATCAAAAACAAAACTATTTTAGTTAATTATTGAACACAAATCAATACAAATAAAAAACTATTTAATTGAAATAAATGTTTTTTATTTTTATCAACTAAATAATTGAGAAATTAAAACCCAAAATAACTCTAACATTATAAAATTATGTTAATTAGTGGGTGTGTGTGATACAAAACAGTTGTAATATGTGGATGACAAATTTTAATAATTAGGCACAAGTTTATGTTTCAAAATATTGAAAAATAAACAAAAAATACACCACAGATAAATAATAAATTAACTTTGACAAATACTGATGTATTTTAGATAATAAAAACAATATAATTGATAAGTATTTTAGAAAATACATAAATTGATATTATTTGTAACAGTTATATTTAACTGTTATGAATTTGTTTAACATTTATATACATTGGTATTTTTATTAACAATATTCAAAACTTTAATGCAGATGTGATTGTTTTTTAATTTTCAAAAAACAACACTTTTAAATGTTAAAATGTTTATTGACAAAATAAAAACAACAAAAGCAGAAATGCAAATAATAAGCATTTGGTTAATATCTTTAATAAAACGAAAGCAATTAATTTAGAAGAAAGATGTCATAAATTATTTAAGCCATAAAACATAAACAATATGAGATTGTTTATTCGATGAACAATAAAGTCATTTACTTAAAGACATCGTAATGCAAACATAAATTGACCACCCCAATATAATTCAAAATTAATTTTAAAAATATAAAGTGATAATGAGTTTGATTTAATTTGGTTTATAGTTTAAAAAACTATTTTTGATGTTTAATTTATATAGTAAAAATATATATTAAAAATTTATTAATATTTTAATAAATTTTTATAACTTTTTATAATATTTTTAATTATTAATAAGAACCCCATAATTTTTTAAAAATATAAATCATATAATAATTAATAAAAAGTTGATTATTGATTAGCAAGTGATCGAGTGTGACCAACTCAATTCGTCACCAGAACCAAATGCAAGAAGATTCATTTGGCTGAGCTCGTTTGAATAAGACTGATGCTCGTTGAAGTATAGAAAGCCCTGTCCTCTAGACGCCTTTGATCTGCCCGTCGGGCTAGAGGTCTTTGGCCGAAGCAACACGGCTATATTTTTAAAAGTACATTACCGACGATAATTTGGATAACTTAAAATAAAACATTTTCATCATGATGATTTATGTTTTATAACGACAAACGCAAACAACTAAATTTATTAATATAAAAGGTATGGTAATTTATTTTTTTTCAACAGGCGTATATTATTGATTAATACTAAAATAAGAGTTTTCTTTAAAATAATTTAAAGGCTTGTTTACTAATAATGTGTTTTGGATTTTTTTACATTTTATATGTATAACTGTTAAGAAAGTTGATTGTATTATACAAACATTAAAACAATTTTTTATAACAAATTAAATCAAACAATGTTTTTGAAGTTAATAAATTTCAAATAAATTTAAAAGTTTAAACAAATATCTTTTTTTCCCACAGCTTTGTGATTTTAGATACCTTTTTTGAAAATAATAAACAAGTTGATTACTATATAACACGACATTTGAACATGGGTTAACACACTTTTAACACGTTTTCATTGTTAGTATGGCAATAGTCAATAAAATTGAATTTATACAATAAATATATCCATATAAATATTTTTATAGACAGAACATCTGTCTGTAAGCCAGTTATATCTTCAACAAATGTTGTTTAAATATTAGAAACAATTAAACACAATAAAAAGTTCTTGTCGTCTTTGTTTCTTTTGAGTGTGCAGAATTTAGGCAAGTGCACCAAAATTGGACACACTTGATGATGAGCAAACAAACTTCAAATTCTTTAAATTAGATGCAACTTTAACAACAGATTGTGATGAATATATTCAATTTTTTAATTATTTTTTTCGACAACCAAAAAAAAAGACTTGTAAAAGAAACTTAGCAATTTTGAAGTTCTTGAGAAAAAACTTAAGATGGTATGATATAATATTTATAACTGCTTTAACGAAATTAATTTCTTCACAACACTTATAAATTTACATGTCAGACTATTGCTTCCATCATTAAATTTAATATATTTTTTTGTTGTTTTTATTTTTGAAATATTTTGTAGAATAATCGATGATTTTACAAGTTTTCAAACGTCTTTGAATATACGTTTGTTAAGTGAACATAAAGTTTTTTGTCAAATCAGTGCAATTCCGACATACTGTTGAACACCAACAATGATTTTTTGACAAATAATTTTTTTAGAAAGTCCAATTTTGAACTTGTCACTTTTTGATAAAAGTGATTCTTTGTGTTTTTATTTAAAACAAAGTGAATTTCCTCTTTAAAATTAAATAAAAAATCAATATCACTGATTGTTACCATTTTTGTTCATTAATGTATAGATGTAATTCTTGGTTTTATTCCTTAGTATTATTTATTTTGTAAATTGAAGTTTTTGAAATTCTAGTAAAAGATCAAGCGAAGATTATTTCAATTGTTGTTGTGGATAAGTTGTCTTTATCAAATAATTATTATTATCATTATAAGTAATATCTGCTTCAAAAAATATTTACTGTAATTGTGGTGTTATTAAAACAATTTTCTAAAACAAATGACAATTTCTAACCCTGTATCTTTTTCTAATTTTTTTGTTATAATAAATTTATTCACAAAAAAAGATTAAATTAAAAAAGATCAATTTCATTGTTATGTAATTGGTTTTGGAGTCATTAAATATCGATAATTTGTTTTAATTTATATAAGCAGAGTCGGGATTTTTAATTTATTTCCCTATTGTTTAAAAGAAATCAAAAAGGCAAATGGCCATAAATCGGGTTTAAGATATATAATACTGACCATTATATAAGGTACAATCAAAAAACAATATTTTTTTTAATTGTTGAATTTGACTGTATATTATTCAAATCTAATCGATAAACAAATAAAAGTTAAATATTTTAATTTTATATATTAATTTATAAGAAAAACTATGAACCTTATATTTAAAAATAAACAAAAAGAGTATAATTTGTGATTATAAATTTAAGAAATATCAAAACATATCTTTATTTAAACGTTTTAATAAAAATACTTTATATATTAATACATTTGTATATAAACAAGCTTTCGCTTTAATTTTGTTAAGAGAATTAAAAAATCATAGTAATAATATTTTTTATTTGAAAATAGCAAAAATTTTGTTGTTAAATGTTTTTTAAAAATAAAAAAATTATTAAATAAAAAACAAAAAATCAGTTGTATAGGGGTGGAAAAAAACCGCTTTTGATAATTTTTGGTGAATAATGGTAAAATGTTTTCTAAATGTTATTTGATTTTATTTTTTTTATTTAAACAAAAAGAAAAAAACATCATTTTCATTTTGCTTGAGCATTTTTTCGAAGTGTTTTGAAGAAGGCTGTTAAAGTCTATTTATATTACAAAGAAAAGCTGAGTTATTAAAGAATTTATTTGAAAGAAAACGGGAAACAGCTTAAAATCGTAAGACCAATAACCAAATATACATAAATATTAATTAATTTTTATTATAACATATTAGTGTAGTAAACGCAGTTTTTGTTAGTCTTATATCGTTTGAATTAACAAAACAAATTATCATCTTTGCAATCTGCCTCATCATATTCCTTATCTTCAGAGCAATTTATGTAAAGTTTTTTGTCATTGTTGTTTTTTGTGCTTTGTTTTGTCTTCATAAACACATGAGTTCAAGTCTAAGTTGTCACTATCGTTTTTTGATGTTGTTAAACATAATAAACAAACTGTTTGATTTTGCAATGAAAGAGATAATTTGATATAGTCGCTGTTGGAGATCTCCTTATAAACCCTTATTATTGGTAAAAAAAGAACATACATTTTTTTCTAGATCATGTTTGCAATAAAACAATACCAACTATGTAAATTATGATTATTAGTAAAGTTAGTGCATTATATAATTATTTTGCTTGGATATTGTCAAATGAAAAATAATTTTGTTTTAAATGTTTAATCTATTGCCAACCCATGATTTATATTATAATTAATGACATTGCTAAAAGGGGGCTAAAAACCCGCTTTTTTGAAAAATCGCTTCTTTTTTTTATGGTAAAAATAATAAAAATGTTATTTATTTTGTCTTTTTTGTTATTGTTTTTTCGTTTACAAAAAGAAAAAATAACAACGACAACAACATTGCCAAAGCTCTTTAAGAATATTTTAGAAGGAAAATCAATTATTTCTTATTTTATTGGGAAAAAACATCATAGTTTAGCCACAGGTTATGTATTCTTTCAGGAAAGTTACGAAAACAATGACGAAAAACAAATCATAAATAGACTATGATTACAAAACATTTCAAGTTATTTTTGACTTTATTACAAACTATTAAAATATAATAAAAACAATTAAAACAAATTAATTGAATAAGTCTAACGCAGCTTTCACCGCGTTGATATGATGCACATGGACTGCCCAGTTAGATTAAATTAAATAAGGAAAGTCGCTTTAGTCTTGATTTGTTTTGAAGTTGTAACGTATCAAACACAACACGTTTATGGCACAAAATGTTAAACCACATTTTTTTATTTGTTATTGTCAAAACCATCCACGCACTCTTTCCTCTCCTCACCATGTCAAATCCACACTCTCTCGCCATTATTTATATCACCTCCTCATTTGTTCACACATATATAAATACCAGTTTTATAAGTTTAAATACTCTTTTTGAAAAGACGAATTATTTTCCAATCAAAGTAGTTTTGAATATTTTTTATCAAAAATCCCATATTTTTGTATTAAAGAAAGGCTCATTTTTTAAAGTTTGTGTTATTGATGTTTCCATAACAGAATTTAAAATTGTAAACAACCATTTTTTCTAAAATTAAAAACAACACATTGTTTAAAAGGA